ATGTAGAAGAGCAGGATATGAATTAGAAACAAGTGACAAGTGGGGAATGCCTATATAGATACTCCAAGGAATCTACAGTTACTGCCTCTGCCTCTTGTTCTTTAACACTGTTACAGATTTTCAGAAATAACTAAGATAATAATTTAGAAATATAATTGATCAAAATACACAAAGAAAATGACTGCTTCCTAATAGAGAAGTTTGTATATGTGACATTGCACATACCTTTTAAGTTACCAAGTTTGCAAAGTCAGAGTGACCATCTTTCTTAAAAATATGACTTTTGAAGTCCATTAAATATCTGTCTGAAAATATACCCGGCAAAGTTATTTACTTATCTTGTGTTTCCTAAAGGTCTTATGCTTATGTAAAAGTGAAATTTTCTAAGCTATATCTGTTATGGACTATGTTTGTGTTGACCCGTCCCCCACACCGCCCTCAAATTCATATGTCAAAATCTTACCCTGCAATATGATGGTATAAGGAGGTGGGGCTGTTGGGAGGTAATTAGAACTAGATGAGGTCATGAGAGTCAGCCCTCATGAATGGGATTAGTGCCCTGTAAGAGTCACAAGAGAGCCTGCCTCCTCTCTGGTCTCTGCCTTGTGAGGATACAATGAGAAGAAAGCCATCTGCAACCCAGAAAGGAGCCCACACCAGAACCTGACCATGCTGGCACCCTAATCTTAGACTTCCAGTCTCCAGAACTGGAAGAGATATAAATTTCTGTTGTTTATAAGCCAACCAGTTTATGATACTTCGTTATAGCAGCCTGTTCTAAGATAAATATACAACAAATATAGAAGAGTAAATATGAAAAAAAATTTAATGAATACAGAAGGGTTTTATTTCTAATCTCAACTTCTCTAATGAATTATTGATCCAAATTCTAATTTCACTAAATGTTTCATCTAATATTTATTAAATATCAATAAAGATTATTTTTTTCTTCCCTTGAGTTTATATGTTTCTAGGGAAACACAACTAATTGATAGCGACAGTAAACGTGGTCTTCTCAATTTTTTTTCTACTTCTACTGATTAGTTTGTTTAAAAAAAGCCCATGTGTTTAAATCTGCAAAGAGCAAAGATTTTTTTTAACAAACTAATTAGACATGATTATTTTACTCTATGTTTGATATTCAGGGAGCTGGAAATAGGGAATTTTTTTTTTCTTTTTTTGTGAGGAAGATCAGCCCTGAGCTAACATCCGATGCCAATCCTCCTCTTTTTGCCAAGGAAGATTGGCCCTGGGCTAACATCCGTGCCCGTTGGGACACCGCCACAGCATGGCTTGGCAAGCGGTGCGTCGGTGCACGCCCAGGATCCGAACTGGCGAATTCTCTGGCTGCCGAAGCAGAGCATGCGCACTTAACTGCTGCACCACCGGGCTGGCCCCAGGAATATTTTTAATAATAATCCTAATCTCAGAAAAAAATAAAAAGAAAAATCTTTTCATTTTATTATGTCTTAATTATTTTGCCTTTCTTTAGTTTCTAATTAGTTAAACAGGGATCTGCTTAACTAATTATGGGCTGGCTGGGTGGCATAGTGGTTGAGTTTGCGCACTCCACTTTGGCAGGCTGGGATTCACAGGTTTGGATCCTGAGGGCAGACCTACACACTGTTCATCAAGCCATGCTGTGGCGGCGTTGCACGTTCAAAATAGAGAAAGACTGGCAACAGATGTTAGCTCAGGGCCAATCATCCTCACCAAAAAATAAAAAAATTATCTTAGAATCCAGCTACTATTTCTATTAGATTTCCCTTAAAAAATAAATTGAGATATATAATGATTTAAAGTGTATTCAGAACACTGAAAATTCAAAAGAAATACTGAATGGAAAAATATTCCAATATAATGATAAACAAAAAATGGATCACAAAACAGTATGTATATTGTGATCTTATTTTTATTTTTTTTAAGATTTTATTTATTTATTTTTGTCCCCCCAAAGCCCCAGTAGATAGTTGTATGTCATAGCTGCACATCTTTCTAGCTGCTATATGTGGGACGCGGCCTCAGCACGGCCGGAAAAGCGGTGCGTGCCCGGGATCTGAACCCGGGCTGCCAGCAGTGGAGCGCGCGCACTTAACCGCTAAGCCACGGGGCCGGCCCATGTGATCCTATTTTTAAAATATGCAAAGAATGGAAAGATATACATTAAAGTGTTGGCAGTCACTTTCTCTAATTATGGATTTTTCCACTATTTTTCTTTGTTTTTTGAATTTTTAACAAAACTTGTATTACTTTTATATAATCAGGAAAAATATATTAACATCACTTTATTTTAGGTAATAAAAGAATATGTAACCTGTTATAAAGATATTTTCATAAAAGTCTGATGTTGCAAATTAATAAAATACATCAATCTGATTTCTAAGAAAATAAAGTCTGAAAAGATTTCAGCTTTCTCCAAAGGTAAGAAGTTGTTTCTCTGTACAAGCACTCACTCTACTGGTGACAGAATATACTTACTCTGATTTCTGAAGTAACTGCATTATTTTCCACAAGCACTAGAGGGCAGGGTTTTCACTATAAAACTCAATTTCATCAATTATCACTATAAGATACGCCTTTTTTTATCTGTGGTTCAACTATCACTATATTTATTATACGCCTTTTTTGGATCCTGCTTCTATTAAAATATGATAATTTTATAGTTTGACTCCATGAGATATTTAATAGCTGATTTATCATATACAAAATAAACTTAACTTACATACTGAAAGGAATTCAAATATATATGTACATACAGTGTACATATTTCAAAACTGTATTTTTAAGGCTATATTAACAAATATGTAATCTAAGTTTCTGATCTGACACTTTTTCATATTGAAACTGAATGACTAATAAACACAACGAAAATTGAGGTTCATCACTACTGGTTCTAGCTTAAAAAAAATGCAAAGATAATTTTTAAGAAATTAGTTAAATGCCCTCAGAATTCCAGATCTTTAAGAGAACAGTGAAATGCTTTTCTTTAGAAAACTCCAAAAGCTTCTAAGGTCTATGAGGCTTATGAACTCTGGTGGTGGTGGAAGAGAAGCTGAGAGGGAAAGTGATATTCCAGGAAGAGGGAACAACAGCAAGAGGAAAGTCACAGCATCTCAAAAGTTACGTAGTTTATTTGGGGGAGCCAAGGTAATTTGATATGTGACTGCAGTATAAGGTGCATTGGAGAAATAGCTGAAGATAAAGCTGAAAAAGTAGAGCAGGGTCACTTGGGGAAGGACTGTTATGCTATACTGGGAAATTGGGACTTTATTTTTAAGGCAATTGGAAAGCTAGGGATGACTTTCAAACAAGGGAGAGTTGTGACTAAGATCTGTTTTTAGAAAGGTAGCAATATACTGGACAAATTAGAAGAGTGAGAGCTTGGAGTAGGGGAGACCAAGGAGTCAAGAACGCTGGCCATGGCCTTAAATAGGGCAAAAACACTGGGAATGCAAAGACAGACTACTCCACTAACATTTCAAAAGGCAGGAATGATTGGACTTGGTGAAGAGATAAATATAGTGAACAAGAGTTTCAAGCCTTGATAAGTGGGTGGATACTGATGTCTTTCAAACAGACAAGAGTTTTAATAATTCTAAGAGCAAGATGCTTAGAATTCAGGCTACAAGACCTGCTAAATAGCTGGAAATGTAGGACTGGAATTCAGGGGAGAAATGAGATATAAATAAGTAAAAGAAAAAAAAATGAGATTAAGTTTTTTTGTGACTTATAAAAGGAGTCATTATATTATCTATATTAGACTTATACCCCTTGTTAATGTAACTGATGTCAACAGGAAGCAACAGAATATAAATCTGAGTTGAACGCTCTATCACTTAGTAAAATAAACTTTCCAACAGAATGGTAGCCATGTACACTATGGGACAGTATTGCACTGTTAAGTATAACTTAGTCAATTTCATTATTAATTAATCATTATCCACCTTGAACACACACACGAAATTTATTGGCAGGTATATGATTTATATTTCATACACAGATAGGGACTTATTAAGATGTTTAAAACATAAATGCACACATTTCATTTGGAATGAAGCCAAAATTTTTAAAGATATATTTGTAAGACAGAAAATTTTATGAGAAAGATATATTTATAAGACAGAAAATTTTATGAGAGTTTACTAACAATGAAAGTCAGTTGTAACAATGATTATCAGTAACTATCATTAGAATTAAACTGCATATTTACAGAGTCACTCATATAGATTTTCTTATTTTATCTCTACAAGAAGCTGTCTATGTGCTAGGCTGGAGCTGGTAGTAATAACAACTGTAACAACTATAATCCTCTGATAACATACATATCTTTAACAATTTATTTTCTACTCTTCATCCTCTCCCCCAAGTTTGTAGAACACACCAGAGGTCTTAGATGTTCTATTTGGAAATTTATATTGAAAACTTTAGCTTTCCTAGATTAGAACACTGCCTACTAAATTCCTGAAACTCTTTGAAATATATAAAATATAGACCAAACAAATTTAGTATTGTTCCACTATGAAATGCATCTAATCTGCTCTAGACATATAGATTGGGTGCCATAAATGCTTGCTAACTATTACACAAAGTTTAAATCTTAGGAAAAGTCCAATCCAATTATTAAGTTGTTATAAAGTCTGACCATTTATACATGAATCATGTAAAATTTTCACATTTCTGATATTAAATAAGCCTTCATAAACTGTTTTAAATGTAATTCTATCCCAAAAGAACAAACAAATTACTTCTTAGATCACTTCATGAATTTAAATTTTTAAAAAACTATTGCATTATCTACATATGGAATTTAAAATATTCTCCATTTATCTAAAGGCTGAGCCAAGCTGAAAACCTTGTGTCATTTGTATTTTATAGATAAAAGACTGGGGCCTCGACATACTATCTCACAAATAAGCAGCCTCTTGCTTCTATCTATTTCAGTATTTTCAACAGAGTTGGAATGGGTTAAAAAAGAAACAAGAAGAAATAGGAATACTTACTTGAACCTGGCAGGTGAAAGAGGAGTAGGAGGAAACATCCCTGGTTCAAAAGAATCAAAGTAAGTCACTGTCCAAGAAAAACTGCAGCAGGAGAATCCAGCAGTTAGGGATATTATAAGCAGCGTCCAGAATCCTTAATGGGAAGAGAGGGGAAAAACTTAAATTATTAACACCACAGCAATTTAAATTAAACTAGTATCCTCATATTCAAAAGATCATGTGTATTTCTGATCTTCTGAATTATATGCAAGTGATATGAGATTTGAGCTTAGTATAAGCTATCCTATGTAGGAGTGGAAAATACTAAAGCACCACTACAAGTCATATCAGTGACTATTTTAAATCAATTATAATTTAATATGTGGAAAAGAGTACAAATTAAACTTAAGAATATAACTCTTCAGTTTTATAAAATTCAACCATAGAAAAAATGGCTAAAACACTTCACTTTTGTCACTTCTTGACATTTTTCATTTAACTTTGTGCATCATAGCTTCCTCTCTTTTATTACTTAGTACTAAGTGATTTCTTTCTTTCCATATCATGCACTTTTGACATAGGAAGCAATTTTAGAGTGTCTACTCTTTTACAGCTTTCCTATAAACATTATAAACCTAATCTGATTCCCTAACCTTGCTCAGTATAGGAAAAAAAGCTAATTCTCATTTTATTAAGGGGTTGGGATGCTAGATTTTATTTTCAGATTGGAACTGCATTTTCTCAAAGACACCAAGTCAAAAGCATGGTACTATATATAACTGGACTCAAGGAAGGGGGAAAGAGTTGAGACGCAGAAGAATAGGGGAATAAACAAAGTGACAATAGAGGATACAAATTAATTTGAAGGTTTTTAGACACATATTCAAACTGCCTCATTAAGACAGTTAACTAAGCTACCACTACTGATGAGCGTGTGCCCCGGGCCTCAGTAGTACAGGGAGGAAGGAAAGGCTGAGAAGACCAGAGGAGAGAATGACCCATGAATTACCACATTTCCTGGCTGCACAAAATGCACAACCAAAGATGCCTTTATTTTAGCAAGAAGTAGGTAAGAAATATGTGCACTGAACTGGTAAACCCTTTGAAGCCCAGTAACACTGATAAAACTGCTAAAAGACAATCTCAGAGCACTGAAGCATTAAGAAAAACTGTGGCGAAGTATTTTTGAAAGATTAACCTACATTTTTTCTCCCGATAGTTCCCTTTCCCTTACTCCTTTTTAAAGAGATAATGGACTTTGCAAAGAAGTAGCAAAGAAAAAAGGAGAAATAGCCCTAATGTCTCTGGTTTTTATGTTGCAAAATAATTAGGGGAACTAGAGGACAGAAAGAAGCAGGAGGGTAGATAAACACAAAATGTCTTGAACAGACAGTAAGGATAATAAATTGATTGGGGTACAGAAAAAATGTTTGTGTAGAACAGGGAGAAAGAGAGTGAGGGCTTTATCTACAGGTGAGAAAGATTCCCCTGGTTTGAAGAAAGTGTGTTATATTTGTATGTTTGCACTTGGTTGTGTATTTGGGGAGGGAGTAGTGCTGCTGGGGCTTCCTGGCAGAGCCATCCAGAAGAGGCCACACAACACCAGAGAGGGATTATAGCTGTGTACAGTATCCTGGCAGCTGAGACCAGAGCCAAGCTTTCAGATGCCTTTGCCCTAAGTTGGGCATAGAAACAGCAGATGGTCACATGGCTGGAAGGCACTACATCCGAAAGGCCATCCTGACCAGAATGTGAGATGTTTCAGCAGTAACTCATTTGAGCAAATGTCTTGAGGACTAGATTGCACCCCCATCCCCATATCCTGGCACAGAGTCAGCATCTAGAACCTTAACTCAACCTAGGACTGGGTAGACAGAACCTTAGTAAAGACTGAGGTACAACCTTCCTGACAACCCAGTGAAATAAGGGATCAAAGCAGAAATTATAAAATTACTTAGCGTACAACTACTACTTAAAGGTGGCTATATTGCCCAACAGCTGTTATTTGTTATTATTTAGATGACTATCTCTAAAGAGGGGAGAAAATAACTGACAAGTTTACTCTAAGTTTAACACCTTATAATACACAGTCTGCAGAACAAAGATGGTAATTAAGAAAAATCACGTATCTGTTTGGGAACTGCCGTGGAATGATGGAAACTTCTAAATATCGAAAAAAAGTGAGAAAGACACCAAATAACAGATTAAAAAATAACAAAATGTGAGGTTCTCTAAAGCCCATCAAGCTTTTTCACTCAGGTACTTTAATAGAACACCTATCAAATTTAAGACAAGAATATTCTTGAGTTTCCAGAAATGACTACTATTCCATAATCTAACTGCTTGCCTCACCTTGGACATTTTAACTATTTTATATTCATTTTGAACTGATCAACAGTTACATCACTGATTAAAGCCAAGTCACAATGAAGGGGCTAAAAAAGTACATTGCAATATCGTGGTCTACAAGTGCTTATGCTTCTGAAAATTACTCAATTCATTTACGAACAAGCAGAAAAGCGACAGAAGTCAGTAACTCCCAAGAACTAAATTTGTAACAAGTCCCTATCTCCAGAATCTTGAAGCTAAAATTTTGACAACTAATGTTTTGTAAACCATTTTATTTATTTATTTTTCTGTGAGGAAGATCAGCCCTGAGCTAACATCTGCCAATATCTTCCTCTTTTTCCTGAGGAAGACTGGCCCTGGACTAACATCCATGCCCATCTTCCTCCACTTTATTTGGGATGCCGCCACAGCATGGCATGGCAAGCGGTGCGTCAGTGCACGCCCGGGACCCGAACCGGCGAACCCCGGGCCGCCAGCAGCAGAGCACGAGCACTTAACTGCTTGCACCACCAGGCCGGCCCCTCGTAAATCCTTTTACCAAGAGTTAACTAATAAGTACAAAAGCATATAAAAATTAAGTCTTCCTTCCCCAATTCCACCCCTAAAAGCAATCAGCTGAGAGTTTGTTGTGCATATTTTCCAAAAATTATAGATATTTAAGTAACGTAGATATATGGAGCTACTTATGTAGAAGCAATGTACAATATGTACATATTTTCTCAGTTTATTTTCCACCAAAAGCGATTCTCACCAAAAAAAGTGTCCTGCACTTTGCTTTTTTTCACATAATGTTGGAGACCTTTCCTATCAGTACATATAGCCCCAATTCCTACATATTTTTATTATTCCAGTTTTTCACTACTTAAAACAATGTTGCAAGTAACATTCTTGTACTTAACTATACAGTTGTACAAGAATATCTATAACAAATTTCTGGAAGAAGAACTGCTGTGTCAAAGGATATAGGCCTTTAAATAAATACATCCTTCTTTCTTCACTAAAGTTCAACTTTCACCAGTTAATGAAATGATGGAAATTCATCTTTTCCATCAACTGAAACCCCTTGGACTCAATGTTTTCACCTAAAGCAAAGATGGGGGCAGGTGAAAAATTCCTATGCCAGTTCCTCTGCTGGAGTTTTATATTAACTTATCTAATGGTATTATTTTGTTTTGGTTCATTTTTCAAAGTAAGTGATTTTGGTTTCAAAGTGTAGTTACTTTTCCAAAAATATGCTGGCAGCTTTCTGTATTTCTATAAAAGCTCCCAGCAAAATTATTACATGTTCTAAATATTTTAATTTTATTTAGCAATTTCAGAAGTTTTATGAAGTCAGAGATGTGAAGGCAGTAGTTTGCACATACCATATATAAGCAGAAACAACCAGAAAAAAACAAAACAAAAAAACCTCCCATGTTTCCATACTGGGAAAAGTTTCTTATTAAACACTGTTATGCATCAACTACACATTCTTTATAAAACTTATTCCTGCCATATGTAAATAATGGGACTAAATGTGACAGCACACTGATAATTCCCAAGTCCCTTTTTAGAGCTTCTGACATTTGAAATGTTTAAGTAAACTGGTATACTATGACATACAATGCAATAATGAAAAAGAATGAGGCCGATCTATGTATACTGACACAGAATGAACTCTAAGACATTTTAATAAAGCTGCAGAATGTCCATGATTCCAATTATGCTTTTTCTACAATGGTGACAAAACCAGATATTTTAAATTATTGTATATATATAAATGAACAGAAAAAGATCTGAAAATATATACAAGCAGATTAGTTGGAACCTTTGCTTTAATTGTTGGAATTTTTTTCCTAGTGTGACTACATTACTTATATAAATTAATTTATGAAATTAAAACTGAAAATTAATTTAACATTTAGGTAATCTTTAAAATTAAAAACATTTAGGTAATCTTAGTTGTAAAAACTATAACCAACCAGCTGGCTACTAATAAAAGCTTAGATGTACTCATGCATAAAACTAACCAATAATTTTTAAATGTTTATGTATGCAAATTTTTGCAACTTTATCAGATTCTACAGTTTTCTAACTTAGGAGGATGACAGGTATTTTAAATAATTTAGTATTCTCCACAAACTAAACCACATTCTATTGATAGCTCAAGTCTTCAAATCCCTCAAGCAATGTGTCTCTCTACATGTCAAGGCAGAAAGCTAGACGACAGCCTTAGATCTTCAAATTTATTATTTCCAAGAGCAGGAGCAGAGGAAAGGAGTCTTTCCTCCCCGGCCAGTGCCACCTGAACACAGTGGGTGCAGAGCAGCTACAATGGTAAAGGTCTCCACCCAACTGCCTGTTCACCTGTAATTCAGCAATTCCACTCCCATTCTTGCTGAAAAAGGTAAGAAAAATGGAACCAGGGGACATTATGACAGATGAAGTGATTGAAACTTGAAAAATAAATAACACCTGTTTCCAACCATGTTAGAAATCATCAGATTCATATCGGAAACTTTTAAAAAACTTTTTTATTACAGACAATTTCAAACATAGTTACAAAAGAAGAGGGAAGAGTACAGTGAAATCCCATGTACCCATCACTCATCTTTAAACAATTAACTCAGGGCAAATCTTGTTAAACCTATATTCTCCTCTGAAGTGTCTACTCTTGAGTATAACAGGGAAAACAGTCAACACGATCATCCAGGTCCAACATACCCTTTCCCTTATTTTTAAGTCATTTGATGAACAATTTACAGAAGAATAAAAAGACAGTGAAAAAAACTTTGTTAGAAATCTTAACACATAAATACAGCAAAT